ATTTAGTTATTTCGTAATTCAGATCGATTCATTATATCTAGTCATATGACATCGGCTATGAGGAAACACAAGTCCTTTATCTTTTAAAGAAATAATAAAATGTCTTTTGTATATATATATATATATAGATACGTTATAATTGGATAAAAGAAAAAATAATACTATTGCTTGGAAGATATTTTTGAGTGAAAGCTTCGAGCAAGAAGAATGAAAAAAGTGAATCGCACGCGAGTGTATTTTATAGAACGGTGCAATCCACAACATCATACCAAAGAATATGACTAAAAAAAAAAAAAAAATGGAGCAGGAGGGTGGAATTAAGGGGAGAAGAAAAAGTACTTACGATCTAGTCAACAAGTTGCGCTTGAATTACATCCTTTTTATCTTAGTTGCCTAAGGCGGTCGCATGTATAAGTGAAGAGGAAGTGATGCTTATTCTTTCTCATCGTATATTTTACCTTACTTTCTCCCCCTGCGCTAAAGCGTTTTTAATATAACTTAGAGATATTTTAATACAAGAAATTTTACGAACGACTGTGTAAGATATAACGGAACGATTTGATTGTATTTAATTAATTGATGTAACACGCGGTTTGATGTACACTTATGATTAACAAGATTAAACGCCCGATTAAACGTTAGAGAGAAAGAGAGCTTTTTTAGTTAGCTTTTTTTTTTCCCAAAGTGTACTGACACACTAAGGGTAGTAATGCATATAGACTCCTCGATCGGTTTTTCGATAACGCCACCGTAAAATCGAGGTGATAAAATGAACGGGAGGAGAGATCGGCGTTTTTCCGGAAGTCTCCTACTTACGACTCATTTTCTCTTCCTCTCGGGAACGCGCGACGGGCGAATAACGTCGAGATGCATTGAAATGTAAAAATAAGATATAAGAAGCGCGGAATAAAATGCAACATCACCAATGCAATAAAATAATAACTACAAGCAGCAACGAAATTAGGACGCGGAAATGTGAAAGCATAAAGTAACCGAGTTGAAATCAATTTTTTTTTCTCTTTTTAATATACATTACATGTGTAAGTATATTAAAAACAGAATACATCGATGCGTGTTTATCGTTTATCGTACTAATTATATATATATATCTACGTTAGATGAAATGATTTCACAAAAGTTAAGTTATGATATATCTCGTAAACGAATGCAATCTATTTTTGCTGACTCATTTAAAAAAAAAAAATATATATATATATATACTTGTATTTTGTTCTTATATTTCGTGCCTCGACTATACGAAGTATGCTTTACAAGTCATCCTGCAGAAGAAAGTACATCTCTATCCATACGAAAAAAAAAAAAAAACCCGTAGTTCTGCAGCTCGGCCACGTTTTTCATAATATTTGAGATTAACTGTAGACATTTGTCTCTTATACTGTATTACGATACTCGAAGCTCGACAGTCAATCGAATCTAATAATGTAACTCGTAACGGTAGTCAGAAATAGGAAAGAATGAAGGAGCATATGCACGTGGTCCACGATTGCCCTAGTTGAATCCCAAGCGAGTTCCGTCAGGGGACACATGAACGTCGCGGAACAGTTTACAGTAGTTTTAGTACTGCGAACAAGAAGGGCGACAAGAAGCGAAAACGGTGCTTCGTGGTACGATTTCGCGCACCTTGCGTATAATAAAATAGTTTTTCAACTTGAAACTTGCCGATGCAACAAAGTGTGATAGCATGTGCTCTGCTTTCGTTGTCGGAATGTGCAATTTCTCGTTTTACGCAATAAAACTCTCGTATATTTTTAAAATTATAT